TCACGGCTTCTGCTAAATGAGCAATATGGTACTTTTAGTGAGCATCTGACATGTTTTATTGAGTATTACAAACGTGAGTTTTGTGTTATATACTAAAATTCAAAAGCTCGTTTGAATTTCCTAATGTGCTCAAATGTTCATTTGTGCACACATAATGACAAATATAATAATTTATATTAAAAATAATTTATAGTCGTTCTTTCTCGAATTACAAATATAATCGAGTTCTTTTTATAATTTTTTACCCACGCATACTTATTTTACACTATACTCATTTTAGTATAACACAAAATTCACGTTTGTAATTAACACACAATATTTAATAAACTAATAAATATTCATCTGAAATTAATAGTAGAGAAATAAAACATTAATAACTAAAATATTTTATAATAGATAAATAAAAAAACTTAATCAGGAAGTTTGATTGGAGAAAGAAAAAAAATAAACTGAAACATTTAATAATATTTTATATTATACATTTTCATAATAATTGAATATAACATTAAAGTAGAAGGTTGCTAAAAAAGAGAACAAACAAACAAAAACAAAAAAATGAGAATAAACAAAAAAAGAAAAGAAAGGAGAATGTACATAACTAGCAAAATAAGAAACAAGGATGAACGCCGTTGAAAAAAAAACAAGAGCACAGGAATGGAGCATGGCATGCTCGGGAAAAAAGAAACACTATTCATGCTACTAATTACAAAAAAACGGATATACATATACACACAGGTGTAGGATATAAGCACTCGTTTTGTAGGCATACGCTCAAGGAGTCAAGGATAGCACATGGAGTGTGTCTCCCCAATTATATGAACATGTCCCATTATTAATTGTAACTAGGGGCGGAGGTAGGGCACTTGATCGTTATAAAGAATATTTTTGAAAAAAAAAATTACACGAAATTTTTTACACTAAAAATATGAATATTTTTAAAATTTTGGCTGGGCCAGGGTCAAGGCTGGCCATCCCCTAGCTACGCTCCTCATTGTAACTTATACAAGGGAGAAAAATTGTTGTTATATATACATGCCAGGTTACACGTTTTTTTGTACACGTCCCCATAGATATGTAAACTACATGCAATTTGTTAAAATATCAAAATTTTATCAAAAACTATATAAAATTGGTCGTATGGCGTCTATCATCTGTACACGCCAAAATGTGTACAAAGTGTGTACACGACTTTATTAATCGGGAATGCCCGGATGTCTGTCTTCTTCTTTATTAATTGGCCTTTATTAACCGTGGCTTAATAAGTTCCTAATAATTTTAAGAGTTTTTCTCAAAATAAAAGATATTTGTGAGAAGCTACCGAATGTAGCATATGTGAGAAAGTCTGTAATTTTTAGTATTAATTAGTCACAACAACTTGTTATACCTAACCAAACTAAATCAAATAATTCAAACAACTACAACCTTTTTCATTAAAGATTTTTTTTAGTTAGTAAAAGCTAACAAATACTAGAACAACCTATAATCTTTTCAATTAATTGTGTCAAACATACTCCAAGTATATTGTATCCAAGTATATTGTATCTTTTTATAGCCGTCTCGTGATAAGCCAAGTATAGTGTATCCAAGTATGAAGTATATTACTATCTGGGCTTGATTTGAATTTTAAATAATTAAATATTTACCGGCATGAAGTCATGGACCATAATATAGTTGTTTTGATACTTCATATTTCCACCGTAATACTACGTAACAAATAGCAGGATTTGCCGATAACTAACTTTAATGAAAACGGGTGGTGCATGAAGCTACTGCAATATTATTCATGTTTTGTTTCTTAATTCTGTTTCTGTATCATGCCAATAATATAGCTGGTCCCTTGTAAAGTTCAATAAGTGACAATGTTATACATGAAGAGCTATTTGCCTATTTGGTAACAATCAAATTGACATAATCAGTTGATTCTATTGATATGATGAAGTTTTAGCTGAAATGACCGATTGAATCTGCCGAATTATGAAAAAAGAAATTTAGAATATACTCCGTATATTTTTAATAAGATGAGGAAAAATATATATGAAAAATAGTTAAAATGCTCATTTACTGTAAATTCATCTAAAATGTAATTTCAAGTTTACTTATTTTGATTATTAAACAATTTAGCTCGTGAAATTAGAAGTTGCGAATTTGATAAAAATATTAGCTGATAAAACTGATTAGTCAAAAACAGGAATCCTAAAATGGACTCTAAAATTAGGGGACGTTTGGTTCTCAGCGTGTTGAGTGAAAACGCCATTTTTAAACATGGTAAAACACTGATAATACCAGCGTTTTGGGTGGAAAACGTCGGAAAATGGATTTTTTTCAAAACTACTCCCTTCGTTCCTCAATACTTTGCCATGTTTGACCGACACGAGAAATAATAAAGTAAAAATGGTGTGGTTGAGATATGTGCATAGGAGAGAGAAATAACAGGAACCACAAATTTATTGATTAAATGGGAAAGTGACAAAATCTTTGGGACATCCAAAAAAGAAAAGATAGCAAGTTATAAGGGACGGAAGGAGGTATTAATAAATAAAAATTATTTACATAAATATGACTAATATTTATTACAATCTAGTGTCATGGTAACTTAGGTTTAATAAAAGTTAAACATAAGGTACTATGATTCATTACTGTTCTAGTCACTTGTTACCATTTTGGAAATAATCTTTACAAAATGATTTAATTTAAAGCACCTCTAAAGTACTTATTCCTATATACTATCCTCCGTATCGTATTAGTTGCAACATTGAGATTTATACACCATTCATGTACAGTACTTTGACTACATTTTATTTATTAACGTATGTGAATTAATTTTTTTGAAAAATATTGTTAAATTTGTCTCATTACAAAGTTACATAATCTGATTTCAGAAAGAAAAAATTACTAATACAGAATTAAATATAATGACGGTCAAAATTGTGTGTTGGCAAACGTGAAAAAGGAAATGTTGTAACTAAAAATGAAATTACGACTCCATAGTAGATTATAATATTTCAATTAGTTGGTATGGATAAAATTAAATAGGGAAAACTGTCAATTACACCCTCGTACTATGGGCGAACCCTCAATTGAGCCCTCCTACTTTGATAACCTTCAATTGAATCCGCCAAGTCTCCAAAATCAATCAATTAGGTCTACATTACCGGTTGGTTCCCGGTTTGCCGGTTGCTTGCCTTCCTGGCGCTGACGTGGACTTTGCCTATCGGTCTTTCAGTGCTGACTCACTTAAATCATTTTACTTCCACTATCCACACCGTGCCCTAACCTTCATTGACGACCTTAATTCGAAGCTCTGCGAGAAGATAAGCAACATAGCACTCCTCGACGCTGGTCATCCACTTCTCACCGTCCACGTGAAGAAGACAAACGCTAGGTTAGTTTATAGTTGTAAGTCCACCGTATTTACATGAGGTTGGTGATTTGTGTTCGTATTTGTCGCATGAATGTTGCTATTGTGATGATATTATTACGTGAAGCGATAGTCATTTGCCCTTTAGAAACGTTCGTTTGGGTCATTGTTCTTTATCTAATAAAAATTTACACATTCCCAAATCTGATTTCAATATTTTCATATGTACAGCATGTTTGACAAGGTTGAACTAATCATTCACCATGGAGGAAATTTGAAGTCTATTCCTGAGATAATATACGTAGGTGGTGTAGTTGATGTCTTACCAATTGACCCAGATTTGATTTGCTATCCTCATTTAATGAAGTGCCTAAAAACGGGTAGTTATGGTAACATTAAGGCTCTGTATTACAAAAAACCAAGGCAGAGTATGAAATCTTTAAGACACTTGTCTGATGATAAGTCAACCCTTCATCTCATACAACAGGCTACTAGTTGTGGACAGTGTGACATATTTGTGGAACATGGCTTAGATGAGGTGGAATTGGTTGAACTTCTGCCTGCACCTGAGGCATCTCAACCTGAGGCATCTCAACCTGAAGACCATGTTCCTGAAGATGAGCCTGGAGCAAGTGAACATCAATAAACAGGTGCCCATATTCATGAAGATGTTGTTGTTGAAGATGAGGAGTCCAATGTCAGTTCAGATGAATCATGGAAGGCAGATGAAGGTCAGACACATGAATCATGGATGTCAGAAGACTCTGAGGCAGATGAGTCATGGATGGAAGAAGAATCTGAGACAGAAAAAGCTGCATCAACTGACCATCAAGAGAGAGATGAGGATGAGGTCAATGAAGATATACTGGGCTCTGAACACATACCTACACAACAGGGGGCAAACACGTGTAATGATAGTGACAATGAGGAGAACAGTACAGAGTATGATTCATCTAATCCCCGCAGCTACATGTCTGAGGATGAGGATGAGGATGATTCTGGGAGGTGTAAAAGGTTAGACAACATGTATGCTTCATTTAATCCTGAATCAGAGCCCCCAAGTTTTGATGTTGGCATGTTCTTTGAAGATGGAAAGCAATTTAAGAATGCAGTCATTAAATATGCTGTGTTTGAAAAAAGAGATTTGTATTTCAAGAAAAATGAGCCTGAGAGAGTGAGAGTGAAATGTGGGAAAACTTGCCCTTTTTCTTTAACAGCTTCATGGGTGGAGAGATTGAAGTGTTTTCAGGTCAAAGTTTTCAAAGAAGGACATAGTTGCAATCTGAGGTATAGGCTGAGAATAGTGTGCACCAAATGGGTAGCTGACATGTATGAGGAGAAAGTGGTTGAGAATCCATCAATGGGTGCAGTGGAATTGAAAAATCTTATCAAGGCTGAGTATAAACTCAATGTGTCTGAAAGCATGGCCAGCAGAGCTTTGAAAGCTATTGAAGAGAAAAACCAAACTGCTTTCAAAGACCAATTCAAAAAGATCAGGAACTATGCAGAGGAATGCCTTCAGTCAATACCTAATAGTACAGTTGTCATCAAAACTGTGAGAGTTATCCCAGAACAACCAAGTGTATTCCAACGCATTTATGTCTGCTTTGGACCAGTGAAGAAGGGTTTTATAGAAGGGTGCAGGAAGATCATTGGTGTAGATGGATGTTTTTTAAAAGGACAAATGAAGGGAGAGATATTGAGTGCTGTAGGTAGAGATGCAAATAACCAAATGTATCCAATCGCATGGGCTGTGGTTGAGATAGAAAATACCTCATCTTGGACTTGGTTCTTGGAGTTGCTGCATAATGACTTGGATGTTACTGCCCCAGATGAGTGGACCTTCATCAGTGATCAACAGAAGGTTAAGTATCTTCATAACTGCTTACATGTTGTCCATTAATGTATATGATATGACTTGGTTAATATTTTGTTTTGTAGGGCCTGGCTAATGCAATTACCAGAGTCTTCCCTAACTCTGAGCACAGGAACTGTGCACGCCATATTCATGGTAATTGGAGCAAAGCACATCGAGGGATGAATCTGAAGAAGTTGTTTTGGCAGTGTGCGAAGTCAACATGTGAACCTCAGTTGGAATCTAATTTAGCTGAGCTAGATAAGGCTGATGCTCAAGCAGGTATTGACTTACGCAAACACCCATTCAAGTTATGGTGTAAAGCTTTCTTTAGGGATGCAGTGAAGTGTGACACAGTTGAGAACAACCTGTCTGAGACCTTCAATAGCACACTTCTAAAAGCAAGATCCAAGCCTTTGATCCCAATGCTTGAGGACATTCGTGTTGCAACAATGAAAAGGATAGCCAAGAAGAGAAAATATGTTCTGAAATGGCCAGGTCTGGTTACACAGTAATATGTACTATTGATTATTCTATTTGATTATCAAATCTTATTAAGCATTTTTGTTTTCCAAATCTTATGCAGGTTCATTTGGTCCAATAATAATGAAGAAGCTGAATACTAATATTCTATGACAAGGGGGAGGAGGCAGAAGCATACGTTGACCACTGTTACAGTAAGGAGATGTACCAGAAAACTTACTCCTACACATTGCATCCTATCAATGGGGAGCTGTTATGGCCTAGAACCCAGCATGAAGAGATCTTACCTCCTTTGCCAAAGAAGATGAGTGGCAGACCAAAAAAGAAGCGTGTAAGGGAACAAAGTGAAGCACGTCCACCCAGTTCTTCACAACTCTCAAGAAAAGGGCGCATCATGACTTGCTCATTGTGCGGAGGAGAAGGCCACAACAAGAAATCATGTTCTACTACTGCAGGTACAGTGACTCCAAGTGCAAGAGGCAGACGCCCAAGAGGAGGAAGAGGGAAGAGGGGGGGGGGGGGGCAATACAAGCAGAAGGCAATCAGGGTTTGGTGTGTATGTCGATGAAGCTACTGGTGAAACCATTCTGGAAGTAAGTTCACTCCCAATGCTTGTATGTTTAAGTCATTTCAATTTGTGGCAATGATGTTTTCTCATTTTGCTTTGTATGTTATATGCAGCCTGGCCAGCCTGGAGAGACAGTGATTGGAGAACAACAAGAGGGATTGCTTTAATGAACATTTATGGAAGTAGTTTTTTGTCATTAGGTGGATGTAATGATAATGTACTATATTGGGATTGCTTTGGTGTATGGATGTAGGGACGAGGTTCAAACTACCTTTTTTGTGATGACCATTGATGTAGTCATTTATTGCATTATTGTAGTTCAACGGGTACTATGCATTATTGCTGAAGAAAGATTGCTTTTGAACTATTTCATGGGGGCACTACATTATTGGCAGTAATATATGTTAGTTGCTCTTGAATTTCATGGGTGTACTACACCTTATTGTCCATACTTGAATGTCAGTTGTATATGAAAGAATAGATGATCTTATCTTTGTGGTTTTAAGTGTATATTTTGAAGTTTTAATACTACACATATTCTAAGTGTATACAGGTATATGAAATGCCACACAACATACACAATGAATACATTCCAGGAATCTAGATTCTTGACAATACAAAGTACCTAAAATGAAAACGTGTGGTGAACTTGTTCAAACATAGATACCATATGACACTACATTTCACTTTCTATGACAATAAACTGGTGGTGAACTTTTTCAAACATAGATACCATTACATCCAACACAATTCAACTATGATAGCTTGAATACATATTTGTTGCAAAGCACAGAAATACAGCCAACCCTATGACAACGAGCTTCCTGCACCTCTTTCTGACCTTAACCTCATTCTCAAGAACGGTTTTTATAGTGGTTACATCTGCTTGAACATGGCTTAAGCGTTGGACAGCACCTTCAACCATGGTCTTTACTTCATCAAACTTATCTCTCTTTTGGCCAGGCCTGATCATGTCTTCTCTTTCTATGTCATCCTTCCACAAGAAGTAGCCGCACCCTTCTCCCTGTTGACAATACGAACACACCTATTATCACACGAACAGGTTCTTCAAATTCAAAATCACTACCAATACAAGATTTGTTCAAAACATAACCTGCACAACCTACAGTATTATATATGCACATCAAATGAAAAAATGTAAATTCTTTCGACGTTTTACCAGCCAATTTTGACACCTATAGAATTGTCTTCCGCTCTCCCTTCCCACGCACAGCGGCGCTTTCAATCCACACCAACAGTACATTGCAGGCTCGTAATTTGTAGTGCTTCTTTGCTCTTTTGTACTCGTTGCTGTAGACGAGGAGGCCATTGTTGGTCACGAGGTCGACGGTGAGAAGTGGGTGAATCCGTCGAGGAGTGCTATGTCGCAGAGCTTCGAATTAAGGTCGTGAATTAGGGCACGGTGTGGTGTTGATTGGGGGTGGATAGTGGAAGTAAAATGATTTAAGTGAGTCAGCACTGGAAGACTGATAGGCAAAGTCCACGTCAGCGCCAGGAAGGCATGCAACGGGCAAACCGGGAACCAACCGGTAATGTAGACCTAATTGATTGATTTTGGAGACTTGGCAGATTCAATTGAAGGTTATCAAAGTAGGAGGGCTCAATTGAGGGTTCGCCCATAGTACGAGGGTGTAATTGACAGTTTTCCCAATTAAATATGGTCGAGTGGTGGGAGATTTGGAACAATGGACCAATGTTCGAATCCCCGTAGCGACCGGGTGAAGGTCACAGAACCTGAAATAAGGCTGGGCCTCTGGTGCGCACGGGTGTATGGGCCTACTGCCATTCTGCTGACTGAGTCACCGTGACTAACCTCCCCACCATCCTGTCGGGTCGGGGTGGGGGGCTCCTGGGGTGGAAGATTCCACCTTTTGGAACAAAGAAAATATGGTATCTTGGAGATAATTGATTTATTTTAACCAATGTTTTAATGTAGGTGAATGCAGTGCCTATACCGTGCAACGGGTGCATGGTGAGCACCATGCACCCATGGGATATTATTTTCTCTTTTTTTAAAAATGGTAATAACTTTTTTATTTTTGATCCGATTTTTATAAAATTTATATCAACATTTTTTATTTTTCATGATCTTTCAAATGAGACCAATATTGCCTATGTAATTTTAACATATTAACATTTGCGTGTAAAATATGTAACTTTACGTGTTAAAATATGTAACTCACGTTCAGTCAGGCCAAATGCAACTCGTGTGTATAAATATGTATCTCTACGTGTAACAATATGTAACTTTACGTAAAAAAATATGTAACTCACGTTCAGACAGGTCAAATGCAACTCGTGTGTATAAATATGTAACTCGCGTGTATAAATATGTAACTTTACGTGTAAAAATATGTAACTTTACGTGTAAATATATGTAAGTCACGTTCAGGCATGTCAAATGCAACTCGTGTGTATATATATGTAACTCGCTTATAAAAAGATGTAACTTGCTTATAAAAAGATGTAACTCGCTTATAAAAAGATGTAACTTGCTTATAAAAAGATGTAACTCGCTCATAAAAAGATGTAACTCAATGTATTATCAAATGTAACTGAGGCCACTGATCCACTCCCAAACAGATTCGATCTTCTATTTCACAAACCTATCATCTCCCAAACAGATTCGATTTTCTTTATAATCCAATACTCATTAATATAATAGTTCGATAATTTCTTAAAATTACATAAGCAATATTGGTCTCATTTGAAAGATCATGAAAAATAAAAAATGTTGATATAAATTTTATAAAAATCGGATCAAAAATAAAAAAATTGTTATCATTTTTTAACAACAAAAGTAAAAAAAACAAAATCGCGCCTCTTTCATTATTTAATTATTTATTTACACTAAAACTGTTTATTTGTAATTTTCTAATTGATTACGTGAATGTGGCATTGATGTTAGGGAAATTATTGTTGTATACGGAGTATAGAATTACTAATTTTAAACGAATTATCTATAACACACATAAGCATATGAAAGAAATCAAACTTGTGGCTGGGCCTCTGATGCGCACGGGAAAAAAGCCTATCATCATTGGGCCGATTGAGTCACCGTGATTAACATCCTCCCAAAAATTCTGTCGGGTCGGGGTATGGGGGGCTCCTGGGGTGGGAGATTCCACATTTTTTGGACAAAGAAATCAAATTTGTTCACTCTCTCAAAAGAGGGTGATGTTCACCCCACCCTAATTGCTTGTCATGTGACAAGACAATTCTTAACTATTTGAAAATTGTTTTAATTTTTTCATTTTTAATCCAATTGTTTTAAAGAATATATCAAATTTTTATATAAAATTAAAAAAAAATCCAACTTGAAATGAATATTTATAAAAAATGATTTCTTTTCCAACTTTTTTATATACAATATTAATATCATTGGAAAGATTTTTAAAAGTTATAAAATCTGACATATCTTTTTATAAAATTTGAATAATAAATAAAAAGTTAAATTAATTTGAAGAAGAAAGAGGATGGAAAGACAAATGAGGTAAATAAAATTGGACTGGAATATGCTTTGTTTTAAAATACTACCTCCGTTCCCATTTTAACTTCCAAATGCTTTTGGCATAAAGTTTAAGATAGTGAATATTGTGTGGTGGAGAGTTGTCCAGATGAGAGAGAAATGTGTAAGAAATGTTGTGAACCACAATTTCTTTACCAAAAAGGGAAAGTGGAAGTTTTAATTGGAACAGACGAAAAAGGAAAGTTGGAAGTTTATTTAGGAACGGAGGGAGTACGGAGTATCTGATAGAGATAACAGACACACGTGCTCAGACTCTTAGACACGTGCTCAGTTATAACGGGGTGGACTTCACGCACCCACTTCTTATTAGGGGTGCAAACGAGCCAAGCCGTTCGCGAGCCGCTCGTGGATCGCTCGGGAAAAGCTCGACTCGAGTTCGGTCATATTCAAGTTCGGCTCCAGTTCGGCTCGACTCGTATACTAAACAAGCTCGAGTCAAGCCTCTTAATTTTAGGCTCGTGGCTCGCGAGCCGGTTCGCGAGCCTACATGTTGTATAATAATTATATATATAATATTTTTGAAATAGTTATTCTATTTAGAATTACTCTATTTTTAATACTTATTACTACGTATATTATAATAGACATAATAAAATATAGCATTATATATTATTATAATCATTATCTATAATAAT